CCCCCCCCCCCCCAAAAAAAAAAAGAGTAAGAAGAAAAAGTGAATGTGGGTTGAAGAAAAACACACGCTGATTTCAACGAGAGAGAATTGAAATAGATCAAACAGGATGGATTCGATAATGTGGCACACACGCACACACCTTGGGAGCCGGTAGTCCAACACGGAGTCGCCAGTGAGTGAGGAGAGTTTCAATTTTCGCCTCCATCTGATATAAAACGGTCTGTTTGCGTTCTTCGATACGATTCATGTGATCCTTGCCAACGGGTAAAATTTAGAGAAGAAACAAAAAAAAAAGAGATAGAATGGGCAGGGTGATGAATGATACGTGAACTCGGATTGTGAAAATGGTGTACGGCACAGCTAGCATGCACCGAGATCTGATAGATAGTAAATCTAACCGAACCAGACAGAAAACGTACCTGTGCCAGTTTCAAATTATCTCGATTCGGTAAATGGTCCACGAATTGCACCGGGGGTTCACAATCTGACTCGAGGAATGCTAACAGTCCGAGGGGCTAGAAAGTAAAACATATGTGATCGTTATCAAGGCTGTTGGGTGCGGAAGAGAAAAAACACGTGGATTCCCATTTACGTTGCAATTTAACAGCGAATTACGAACGTCCGTCCGGAACACAGGACAAATTATATGGGTGGCGTAGTTTGAGTTTTTCGAAAGGGCAGACGAAACACGGTTCTAGAGTTCTCGAATATTATCATGATGTTGTTTATCGCTGACTACAAGCCTGATTTACTACCGCGCTGAAACCGATCAGATCAGTGCACAAATCTAAGATCAGACAACCAAAAATCCTACACAGAAAGGCACGTGATCAGTAGCCACGGCCAGGGGCAACAGATAAAGTAACAAGTTTTGTTATCATGACGAGATCAATATACGACTGTCATGGGAGACTCATTCCGAAGGTAAGTGAAAATATATCACTGCGGACAGGTTACTATAGTTAGACAGCAAAATTGCCAGCACCTTCCCCTCCCAAAGAATAATAAAAATAAATCACTCGGGACACCCTGGGATCACGAAACTGACCTCGTTCGCACTTCTGACTAATTGAAGCGACGCAACGCAACAAACCGAATAGTGGATATGGTTGCTGTAGTTCATTTCCCCTCACCTAGTACCAAAACTGGGATTGATACGATTTTTTTTGAAGTTGCAATCATCACTACTCGATGCACTGTATTCCTTTCCAGTCGAGGTCTGAAATAAGACAAACTAAGTCGGACTCTTATGGAGGATCTTGAGAAAAAAGTACAAATAGACATATGCAGCACACTACAGTATTTTCCTTAGAGGATTTACCTCTGTGTAGCTGTTTGGAATGCGCTTTACTCCTGTCGAATGGAATCACGTAATTGGGTTGACATAGTTCTCTAGTTCACAATAACAGAGGCGATAGTGGGAAAGGACCAATTTTCCACCTAGGACAGTCATATNTCCTATGGTGAAAGAATATTCGGTGAATATTCGGCGTTTGCCAACTTTCGAGCTGCCCCTGAACGGTCGAGCGTTTGTTGCCTCAGCTGTGTGACCGGTGCCAGTGTATGATGCAGAGACATGACCATGAGGATGAGGATTAGGATGAAGACAAATTATCGCTATTCGGATACCTCTCGCTCGCCCAATGCACGGTTCTTATGGAACAATCGGACCAGTAATTCCGAAGTCGCACAAAGGGTATTGGTCACTGGTGATCAAGCACTGATGCAATTGTTTGAGCCCGTGTTTGCTACCGCTGGGACGTGTTATGTATTTCACTTGGTGGGTTTTCTCGGTAAGCAAGGCATGGTGGGACAGGTGGGGGAGTGAAAGATCAAATATAGTCAAAATAAAATCTGACATAAGGGTAGGAAAAAAGCGAACCAAGTAACTCGTTCATTAAAGAACGTTAGGCTTCCTGACCAGGGACCCGTAACTGTCCTTATCAATAGTTGGAGACAAACAGTGATGCGAGTGACGGTCTAAAATAATAGCAACTCTGTATTTTAAAACTTTTTAATTAGATTTAGGCTATTCGCTTCCTACATTTACATCTTGAAAGTGCTTTCGGTTTTTAACTCTTCCATTTGCTTCCTCATGAATGATAGCCAGTAGATGGAAACCACGAACCCAAGGCCAGACATTAAGTACAAGGTTATTGGCTTTATGAACGTCAAATCGAAATTACGTAACCAGCTTTGCACAACTTTGTTCTACGAGTCTAAGAGTACCAGTGGAATGTTGATGGCGATGCTTGGTGCCGGGTCGAAACCGGTCACAATTCCAGACACCATTACCGATCGTGACCTCAGTTAGGTAATGTCTACTTATTCAAGACGAATTACGTTCTTCCCCGAGAGGTTACAGCTACGCTGACTGTATATTTATTTGCGTTAGCTCCGTTTCGTAAAATGAAAAGTGAACACTACGATCAACGTTTTCGTAACACCAAAATTGTGCGAGAGAAATTGTCCGAACGGCTGAAACTGAGTGGGGATATCAGATTAGCATAAACCTGTAATAGAATCTCATATCCATTCAGCTCGAAACTCATTCACACGTTGCGATCATCGTCATCGTATAGCGAAACACAGTGAACCGAACTTCACTGATCGCTGACAAACTTGCAATGCACACAAAGTTAGTGGTAAAATTTAAGGTGGAAAGGGATTGGACCTATTTTGAGGGACGAGGAAGAAGGTGAACCTCTATGCTCGACACACACAAAGAGTGCACAATTGAACTCTGCATTCTGACCTGATAAGAAACGACAACAAGAACGCCACTGCTGTCGGTTCCTTCAATGTATCCAACCGACCAGTTGCGGATTCTTCCGGACCCCAACCTGGAAGGCACGTGATACCTACTCTACCTAATGGCTCTGTGCATTTCTTCATGCCTCGTCTCCACGTCATCTGTTGACTCCCACACGGTTTCCTCCAGCCCGGAGCGGCTACAGTGAATGAACCGCGATGCGGCAGACGACAGGTGGCCATATTCAATACGTGCCCTAGCCAGCGAAGTCTACTAATCTGAATTCGATGTGCTAGTAGGTTTATCTCTGATAAACTCCCAAACACACGACGACTTACCTTCACATTACTAACCCGTTCGCCCCATTCCACATGGGCTAAACTGCGTAAACACCGATAATCGAAAACTTCTAGTCGACGGATCTCTTCTACTCGCAAATTCAAGGTTTCACAACCATAAAGCAGAACTGAACGAACGGTGGCACTATATGCACGATCTTTCAACTTCAGTGAAATGTCGCATTTACGCCCAAGGTGTTTGAGTCCTACAAATGTTTCTCGGGCCTTGGAAATGCGGGCGGTTATCTCGCGTGCTGCGCTACTGTCATTGGCCATCCATTGCCATCCAGTTGGAAAGTCATACCCTGAAAACAACCGTTCAGGGATGATCGCATCAAACGACATGATCATGTGCAACCGGTCAACCAAGACCACACCATTCACTAGATTGAATGGCGAGAAGCTAAACAAGAGACAACCGGTGGACCAATAGTCAGACAGAACAATGACTTGGTTGTCGTGATTCGAGTTTGGGTAAATTCGGCCTATATGTGTTGTGCTGGTTTGGCAGCCCATACAATGACAGTGAGGAGATGGGGAGCTATGGAAAGCCAATGAATAGGATCTACCATTATCATCATCATCATTATCGTTGTGTAGCGTAATACAGTGGAGCGAACTTCGCTGATCGCTGCCAAACTCATATTGCACGGAAGGTTGAAATGTTTGGGGAGGATAGGAATTGGACTTAATTTTAGGGGTGGGAAAAGAACCTCTAGGGTCAACACACAGAGTACACAGTCCAACTGTGACTACATAATATTTCAAGCATTCTGATCTGATAAGAAATGACAGCATAATCGACACTGCTGTCAGTTCGCAGCCATGACCTTCAGTGTCTCCAACCATGCAGTTACGGAGTCTTTTGGACCCCAACCTGGAAAACGAGAGACACCTATTCTACCTAATTGCTCTGTGCGTTTCTTCATGCCTCGCTTCCACGTCATTTGCTGGCATCCATGTGGCTTTCTCCAGTCTGCAAAAGCCACTGTGGATAAGACGCGCTGCGGTAAGCGACCGCCGTATGAGGACAGCTACTGCACGCAAATCAACCTCAGTGATTTGGCAATCCAGAAGGCGAAAAATGATTGATGACGGAATTCTGACAATCCCGCTGCGACTTCGACACTCATTGATAATCAACCTCACTGTAACTATAGTTCCATATCAGACGGGTTTATATCGAACAACATGACACTGATAGTCCATGGATAAACAAATTGGAGGAAATGAATGGCTACGTGAGAGAGAGAGAGAGAACACCACAGGGGTTAGTGGACCATGTAACCAAGGGCAATAAGCGAACAATATGGACGTACAAACATGCGTTTGAGTAAATCCTGCGCATCGGGATTGTCCTCAGTCCATAAGGTGATCAGCTGACGACTGAGTTGCCTGTCACATGATGGAAGGTGAGAGAGAGAGAGAGAGTTCACATACGACCAAGAGGTGATGGTCGATAACAATGTACTGTTATGGGAAAGCAGTCTTTCATTTACTAAAATAGGCATAGTTACAACTCATCCTGGTCTTGCCAATTACACGATGAGTGGCGGAACGGACTGGTAGACAAAATATATTATAAACGCGGTAAAAAGATTGGGCTAATACCAGGGGGAAAAAGAGAATGGTTACAGTGGTACAATCAACTACAGTATTCAATCAATTTTGTATATAGCCCGTACAATGTCTATGATCTTCAGTTTTACCAATGATGTGTCTCAATACTTAGCTACAGTAAAGCGCGCCCTGTTTCCCCAGTGAAATCTGATAAGGTAGCTGAAAATGTTGAATAACCCGACCTAACTGCACGTCCCCTATTTCTGTGTTTTTCAGAATCAAGGAACCCTGGCCTGCAGGAGAACACGAATGATACCAACCGAGAGAAGAGAACAGAGACAGCCCGAAGAGTTTTTGTTTTGTTAATTATCTTCTTTGTATTTACCTTTCTTCTCTGACGTTCCAGGACCAACTGACCCGAGCTTTATCGTCTCGAGGAGAGGAGACTAATTGGGACGGGGTGGTGTGGAAAATAATCAATCAATACGATGACCTACGCTCCAGCGAAATCAACTGATACGAATCAGGAGATTTTGTTCCGAACTATCCATGTTTACGGCCTATGGAGCAGATAGAACAGTGGGTCAAAGCACAAAGTGAATCCTCGCCTCTGACGCGAACGAACTCGGCGAATTTCACCGAACAGCTGACAACCACGCCGATAATCACTGGGGCGTAGTCAGGTCATGAGTACATGATCAAAGTAGAATCGACAAATAAAAACAGTGCAAAACACCATACGCAGACTCAATTCTTGCAAACCAGAACCGACAGGCATGAAAACTTTTCACACAAATGTTATCCTGACCCTATCATATTCTGACTCTAAAGAGCACTATCTTGATGCAAAATTCCTGGACTAGAGTCCATGAAACCAAACCTGAACAATGGGAGCTTCACTGAAATTATGCGGCTCTCAACTAATTTCTCAATTAATCGATTTATTTTTCAAACCCGGATTTACCAGAACCTCTTGTCACTCACACACAATAAAAAAAGATGTTGCACATTGTGTGATGATAACAAAAATATGGGTACTAAACAGCAACACCAATAAAACGAAACTAGGCTCATCTTTGAACAATTATTATCATTACGTTCGTCATTAAAATAGCTATGAAACAGTAGGCGTAGTGCAGCGACATAAAATGATGAAAGGACATGTCATGCCAAATAGTCGACAATAGTGATCGAACCAACAATGTGGCCCTGTGAGAACTCAAAATTTGGTAACTGGGATCCCATTCAATTCACCGCCTCATTCATATCGGGGAGTCGGTTCGCAGCATTACACCGCAAGTCCTCGTACTTGTGTTACACGCTCAAAGTAGACCAAAAGCCAAAGGGATTACCACAAAATAAGGTGCTTTTATATGCCTATCATTGAAAACGACAATCTGGAGAGATGACTGAGCATTAACCTNTGGATCCTAAGAATTGGAGCAGCCATTAACTACGGTGGACCCCGATAGGATGAGAACCTCTAGCCTTGGCACATATTACTGACTGAAAAATGAGTGATGCGGTTCTGTCACTTGTACTCCGCATTTCCATTGATCAACTGGCATAAAATTCTTTTTTTTGCTCGTGCTCTGCCGTGAAAAGCATGCGATG